TGGTTCTCTGCTGGGGGTTCCTTCCCAGCGCGGAGCTCTGCCCGGTTGAGCCCTGTGCCAGGCCTGCAAGGGATCGTGCCAGCCGTGAGCTGAGGTACATAACTGATAACGTGACTCTTGTGCAAGAGGTCCGTGAGGATGTAGTGGGGCTATTCGACCTGGAGAAGAGAAGGCTCCAAGGAGATCTTGCAGCAGCCTTCCAGTACCTGAAGGGGCCTACAGGAAAGCTGGGGAGGGACTGTTCACAAGGGTATGTAGTGACAGGATATGGGGCAATGGTTTTAAACTAGGGCAGGGTAGATTTAGACTAGATATCAGAAAGAAGTTCTTTTTTCATGATTGTCGTGAGACGCTGGCACAAGTTGCCCAGAGAAGCTGTGGATGCCTCATCCCTGGAAGTGTCCAAGGCCAGGCTGGATGGGGCTTTTGTTTTATGAAGATGTCCCTGCCCATGGCGGGGGGTTGGAACTAGATGATCTCCAAAGTCTCTTCTGACTCAAACCATTCGGTGGTTCTATAAAATTTCCTGCTTTCAGTCACCTGCCATTACTTTAAGGGGATGGACAGAAAAACTACGATTTTCCATTGCCTATATTTATTTAACATATTATTGTAGTGGGGGCAGATGTTGAGTAGCTGCTTAAGCAGAGAAAGTAAAACTTGTCTATCGGAACTGCAGTATTGGAGAGATTTGGCTTTATGTTGGGAATTATAAATTGGATTTTTTTTTATATGCTGTACATTTCACCTCTCAGTCCTCATACTTCAGTAGTGTATTTTATTTGAATTTAACTTTTGCCAGCGAACAGTGCTGGTTTTATGCTTATCCTAAATTTTGCACCATAATTCTGTGCAATACTGAATTGTCTCTCTCATTCATATCTGACCTTGCTGACTTGCAGATAGTTCTCTTCTATAAGGTTCTGTTGCTATTTGTTTTTCCATACTTTCTTGAGACCTAAATAAGTTGTTTTTTTCCTGAATCATGTAACATGATGGTATGTGGCTGTGCTAACTTTGCCATAAACACTTCCTAATAATGATCCAGCTTAGAGCATACTATTCAAGTTAAAAGTAAAATCTTTCTTCCATACCTTTATTGCAGCTCTGATGCCTCTGAGCTGGGAAAGCTGGAACTGGCCTGTTCTGTCCCTGCAACTGTCTGAGTTTGAAAGACAGCTGGGAAAGAAACAGAGTGGGAAGCAAAACTGAAAGGAAATGTTTAACTTTGAGAAGCAGAAAGAGAGAACTGTAGACAATGGTTGGAAAGGATAGAAATGCCAGGGTAGCATTGTCTGTACAAGTGATAATGACCTCCGTTTGTCTTGTGCAACTGGACTCAAAAACACTGAGGGAATAGCACCTTTTGTACCTGTAGGAGATAGTTTCTTGTTCTGTAGTACCTTCTTCCCTCTGGAATAAGATGTGAAGCCTAAAGGATCTAATTTTTTTCTGCACCATTCTCAATGCAGTGCAAAACAATACTAAGATATTATAATTTTACTTTGTGAAAGTGTATTAGGTGACTATTGCTTTAGGCAAAGAGCAGTAAATCTTCCTTATGTCTCTGTGTAAACTGTAGCTTTTTTAAGAAATAGCAGTGTGCCCACACACCTATGTCAGACATTGGACTTTAAGAGTTTTTTGGTGCAGAAATTTCTATATAATTTAAGAGTTTATGCACATTCTCTTCAACTGTGGAATTAATTTTATAGCAATAGTTTGGCGGAACAGGAAACTACTAAGAATTTTTTGTCTTAACTGAGGATTAAATTACTTTTATGTGGAATTGGTTTGTGAACTGTTGCAAATATTGTTTGCTCCTTAGAAAATATGAATTGTTTTGAAAAAAAAATACAATTTCCTGTAAGATAGTTGTTGTAGTTTAGCAAGGTGAATGAGGATCTTGCAAATATTTGTAATTAAAAAACTGAGTTATTATATCCTTTACAACAGTCTCAAAACCATAGAGTGGCATATGCATGGCTGCTTACGTTTTAAAATGTGAACGTCAATTTTTACAGCGTTCTGAGGTGCACTGCGCACATTTCAGGTGAAGAAACAGATGCAGAGAGGCAATATGGTTTGCTTTAGGCCAGAGCGGTAAAAATTACAGTCAATGAATCCGTCTTGGAGACTTTTGGTTTTATTTATTACTGGATAGTTCTCTTTAAAAGGTTATGAATTTCTGAAATTATGTAATACAGAGGAGTATTTTTGTCTGAAAGAAGGGATTCAAGCTGAAAAGAACTGCAAGGCTATAACAGTGTCTTTGCTTGGTTGTTGGCTGGTTTGTTTTCGGTTGGTTTTTTTTTTTTCAGAAGGCTGACACCAAAGAGGAATTCGTTAAAGTTAGAAGGAGGGATTTGGAAAGGCTTACGACTGAGGTTATGCAACTGCGGGATTTCTTACCCAAAATAGTAAATGGGGATATCCTGGGGACATTCCAGAAACTGGATGCTCTTGAATCAAGTGAGTAGTAGCACATTATAGACTCTTAAGTGTTTCTACTAAAACTGCTTAGAGACATGCCCCTACAAATTGTTGTACAGTTTGTGGAGGTATTCTCTGTTAAACTGATGGTCATTGACTGCTTTGGTAAATTAATGTGTTTGGAATCAAGAAAATGAAAAACTGCATTAGAAATAATTGGATGTGTCAAATTAATCTTTGAAAATATTTTACTCTAGATAAAAACATACTTAGTTCAGACAGTAAGGGAAGCTGTGTGAGGAAAAATGCAATATCTCTTTGAGAAAAGGCAACGGTATTCTGGTTTTTAAAATGTCCCTTGAGATGCAAAAGGAAAAATTGTGGTAAATAGCTGTGGATAAAAAGTTAATTTTTTTAAAAAAAAGATAATATTGTTGTATTTAGCCTGTCTTTGTTAGTTTGTATGCTTTTATTGCCGTAAATATTTGTAGTAAATAAAAAAAAAGTTGAAGACACTGTTACAAATATCTTTTTACTGCTGTCCCCAAGTCCAGTTTTTCAGTGTACAATTCTCTGTGAGTTATTTTTTCATAAATTGTACCACTGCCAATGTGCCATCAGGACCAAATCTGGGTCAGCCCGTCCCTGTCCTGTAGCTTACATGTGGCACTATAGTTTGCCTGTTCTCCTAGGAATTGGTTTTGTCGGAAAAGACATGGGACAAGCACCAAGACAGATTATAGGGAACGTATTTCTTCTAGAATATCAAATGATTGGTTGAACATTAATTTGCAACAGCTGCTTAACGTTGAGAAAGATAGAGCCTCAAGGACTGTCTCCAATACCAGGTAATATATTGAGGCAGAGCTTCCAGCTGGCTCCGAAGATCCACTCTTTGGAAAGATTCCTCTGCTGCCAGTCGAGACATCCTACCTGTCACAAGAGGTGATGAAGGGTGTGCAGTGTTCTCTTTATACTATTGCAAGCCATCAAGGACTGCTTCCAGTTGCATTAAGTGATCAAAATCCTCAACTAGTCAGATCCTTGTTTCACCTACTTTCATCAGTGCTCAGTCTTAAGATTTCTTTTACTGATTCTTCTTATGCAACTTGTACCAGACGTGAAGGAGACACTGTCAGAGCCTTCAGAGAGCACGCTAGTGGCACAAATGTGGGGATTTTAAGACTTCTCTTCAAATGTTCTGCTGACTGGCCAGCATTATCTGGGTCCTTTGAAGGAGCACCTGAGGCTGAGCCAGCCTTTGAACTCTTTTGAGTATATCATTGCAGTGGAGATTTTGCTTGTGGTTAATGAGGTGGTTTAAATATTTGTTCAGGCTCTTGATGCTGTTTGCCCCAACAGCCAGGCAAGTCAAGTGGTGATTTTTGCTACTCCAATCTGCTCCTACATCTGCAGTACGTCATAAGGCTCTGCTGAAATGACTGAAAGGAAGCTTTGGAGCAGACAATTCACAAAAGGTTGGGCCTCACAGGGACACGAGCAGTCTTCAGTCTCCAAATGGTGAGCTCTCTGATGCAGTGCTCTAAATACAGCCTCTTTCTGTTGGCATGTGAGGCTTATAGGAAGCCTGGCAGCTACCAGGAATGTTTTTTCATGTTGTTTTTATGGAAGCCTAATGGGCTATTTGCCCATCTCTGTAGGCTTTCTTATTGCAGTTTTCTAAGTATTGTAAACACAAAATGGCTAGCAGGTTCTCATGCTCCACAAGAAGTGCAGATTATCGTTAGAGACTTTGAACACCACACTGTGAGACTGATGGAGTCTTGAATAGTATTCAGAAACCCTCAGATTTTTGCATGTTTTCCTTTTATATCTAGGCCTTGCTCTGGGATCATCCCATAGGTGGTACCTGAGATCTGAGCTGACAATGGTCAATGCAACCAACACCTACTTTTGGGGATGGCATCATGGTCTTCACTAAGGCTTTTGCCAAGGCAATTATTCATTTAAAAAGGAAGGGTCTCTTTTGTTGTTACTACCCTCCTCAGGAAGAGTGTTTGATTCCAGGAATCCTAGAAAAATAGCTCCAACAAGTGTTCTGTATTGCTATGCATATGTTTAGTGGACCTCAGTCCACTGGGGAAACGTTAAAAATTGCATTTAACATTGATCTAGCATTTGGATCAGTAGAGTTGGAATTCAATCACTTGTTGGCATTCTTTGTCATTATAATCAGTTCTCTTTCTCTCAGAGCTTTGAGATTAGGTCTCTGGCCCAGAAAAATCTCTTCATGTGACATACAGTGTGGAAGAGAATGAGTTCACCTCACACTTGAAGTGTGGGCTGCCTAGTTGTGCCCAGTGCCTTGTTCTGCTTTTGAGGCTGCTGTCTTACTTTGGAGGCAAATGCTACTTCTTCCCAGAGCCTTATGTACTGTTGCAGTGGTAAAGTTACATATTTCCTTTTTTGTGTAAGGGTGCCATTTCATACTGTTGTGCTCGTCCAAGTTGATACTGAAAGCTGCCGCTTTGCTTGGTGGAGTGGCTTCCAATATTACCCTTTTACTATTTTCATTTTCTCCCTTCAACATAAAACATTGTGATACCTTAGGAGGTTGACACATAACTTCTTTTATCTGGAAGACCGAAAAAGTAGAACAGGTAACATTGTATGAACACTCAGGAGTTGAATATTATTCCCCTTCTGTCTCAGTTTTGGTTCCAGGACCTTTGAAGTCTGTCACTGAAAGATGTGGCATCTTTGTGTGTCTGCATGCTGTGCTGACGCTGGATTCAGAGTGGATCCATCCCCTCAAAGGCAGGAAGTGATTCTTGTTCAGGAGAGCTCGTTTCATCGCAGTGAGAGATTTTCACTGCATGTACTTAACTGGCAAGACTAAACAGTTTCTTGATCTGCTATTGGTAAGCAGAACATGCTCTACTCATAGTCAAGATGTCTTACTATCAAGTAATTAAAATTCACACCCACATGGCAATGGGTGCATGGGTCTGATTTTTCTTTACTTGATAGAAGGAAAGAAAGTTTTCTGCCACTTATCAGTTATTCCTCAGAAACTCAACAAATCCATTCCCTGCTTCAGAATCCAAGTTCTTTAGATAATAAGGGCTGGTTTTGTTAATATTACCGTCTTATGACTGAATTTGATATGCACTCCGAAGTGCGGTGTAACCTGTTTTTCTAAGCTAATCAGAATTACAGTAGATGCTGTTTGGACATTATTCTTTGGAATTACCTAAATGTGTTTCTTTTTTTTTCTGTATCAATACTAAGCATCTGGAACCATGATTTGTAAGGTGAAATACAATATACAACAGTTGTTAAAATTATCCTTCAAAATGGGTTTTTAAAAACAGACATCATAATAGTGAAGTACAATACTTTAAACTTGTTTTCCATTGACTAAAATAAAGTGTCTAAATTGGAATGTGTTTCTGAGAACATCAGAAAGTATTTTTTAAGGGAATTGTAAAATTTGCCTGTCACTGACATAATGTTTAAACAATTTAAAATGTTTAGAGTAGTTGTATTTCATTCTTACTATTCACGTAATTTGTATATTTTATACTGAAACACTCCCTTTGGATGATCTTGTTCTTTTTCTTAGATTTTTACTGTACTCAACTGAATTTCAAACAAGCCAAACATGAAAACTGTCATGAAAACAAACAGAAAAAGTAGAAAATTAAGTAAATTTTAAAAATCACTGAGGAGCTCGAGCTCAGTTCCAGAAGGGTGTCTTATCGGCGCACAGTATTTAACAGCTAAATGTGATTCTTTAAGTTTTCCCCATTTTAAATCAGAAACGTGTTCAGTTTCTTCCAAGAACTATTGAAAATGTGGCAAATTGCGATGTACCCGTTTAGCCACGAGGAGGTGGTCTGACACAAGTTAATAGTTAAAGCACCGCGTTAATGTTGCACTGTGTGGGCTCTTTTTTTCTTTAGTGTGAGCCCATTGGTCATAACTTATTACTTCGTTTGTCTGATTTATCCTATCACAGACATGGAGAAAAAGGAGGAGGAAATAGAGCAGCTGAAAATGGATTGTGAACACTTCAGAGCCCGCCTGGAAACAGCGCAGGCAGATTGCATGAGAGAGAAGAAGGTAGATTTGCTGTCAGAATATTGTTATCTGTATCCTTAAGTTCTAATAACAAAAGCTGCAATGATCAGTTTTTCGTGTTCATGACACAAACTAGCTTGAAAAACAATCAGGGTTTTCTAGTCCTATAGTTGAGTGATGAGGCAGTGAACTTATGTTCATAACTGTTGGGTTTTCCCCTTCGTATTTCTAGAGCAAAAGGGCCAATACTGTAGCTACACAAAATATAATACTGTGCAGTCCCAAAATGTGTTCAGTGTGTACAAACAGAGATAAAACTGACAGTCTGTATCCCACTTGTGTAAGTAACTCTTGTGTAACTGCGTAGATCCCTCTTAACTTCCCTGCTGTGCAAGGTGCGGTTGTTTGGGATTTTGGATTCAGGGTTTGTTTGGTCTATGGAAAATTAACAATCAACTGTTAGCATTTTGTTTATATTAACAGGTTGTAAGTAAAACATTGGCTGTTTGGGAAGACTGTGATGTAGCTGGCATCAAAAGGTCCTTCGCAGAATCAGTTCTTTTGAATTTAATGTAATTATAATGTGTTTTCAAAGAGGACAATAGAAGATATTGTGAGCAATGCAATGTACGAGATGCAACCGGCTTCTCGTCTGGCTTGCTGTAAGCTGTGTACCTTTGTTTAGTTTTAATAGCCTTTCTCAATGCACCTATTGATCCAATTGCCATGTAGAGCTGTGAGTGAAAGAACAATTATAGGGCTCCTTTTTGCTCTGTCAATATTGAATTTAGTGATTACAAGAGAGGAGACTTTTAACAATGAAGGAATTGCAAAGACTATGACTTCTCAGACTGTGGGTCTTCTGTGAAGCAGTTGAGGTTCCAGTAGGATCACACATATTAGTGGCTTAATATTTGAGAGTTGTGACAATCAGTTGTGATCGATTGCTGCAAAAATTCATTTCCTTGGAGCCGATAGCTATCTTCAGTAGTCAGCAGAATGTCACTTTGAGATTCTGGAGTTAGCATCTGCCAGCCCTGGGATTGCACAAAGACAAATGAATCTGCAGAAGTTATTTCATTTTTAAAGAAGAATAAATAAAGAGTTCAGACATGCTTTTTTGGGGCACAACTGTGTGGACAAGTCATTTTGGAATGAAGTTTGATACAAATGTAAAGTACAATGGAATATTTGTCTGTCTGGATATTCCTTGCTTGAAAATAAGTATCTTCTGGGACAGCTATCGCAGGTCGGCAATAGGTACTCATTTAGTTTTGCCGTGCAACCAGTTCTTTAGTTGTATAAGCATCCAGGATGAAATCTTGGTAAGATTTAGTGTTGCTGCTTTAGATATCAGTAAGTTTCACCCTTTCTTCATGGCAAGTGGTTTAGGTTTGTAATTTCTTTTGGATGCAAGTTCTACTTAAAGCATGGATAATTTACTTAGAGTAGTTGTTGTCGTGGTATTCCTGATCAAAGCTCTCCATATCTTTGTTGTGTAGTGTATACTGGGTGTCTAAATGGCTTCTGTTAGATGTCACAAAAGTTGTGTTTGTCTGAGTGGCTTGTGCTTATATACGTTGTGAAATCCTTTAGCTCTTCAGGATAAAAGAAGATGGTGTATATCCATGTGTGATTTTTGTCCCTGTTAATCATTTTGCCTGGTGTTTTTCATTTGTTTGCTGTTCTATTATAGGCATGCTTGTGTATAGTTTCTAAACTATTTTCTACATATGTATCTTCTGAAGGAAAAGTAAACGGTTCACTGAAAGAAACAAAATAAATGCATTTTCTATATGGGGCGTGCCCTTTTCCCAGGGGATCATAAATCAACGTTTTACATTCCAGAATTTCAGTGCAGTGCTGTATCACTGATTGGGGAATTGCTGTGCTTTCTGAATGTGAGCAAAACTTGAAGTGCACACTTTACTCTTGGCTAGCGTCTTCTTTGTCTGTCTTTTTGGTTTACGTACTTAAGCACTGCTGTATTTTTTTGCCTTGACCCTTTCCTGAAGGTGGTGGTATTGCATAGCACAGTGGCTGCTTCACGATGTGAGCTCTCAGGAGCCTTGCTTCCAGCTAGGTTACTTGCTTTTGCAAGCTCCGTTTATTTTCCTGGCTTTTGAATGTACTATTTTGTTTCCTTTGCTTCATACCTTTGTTCTGATGTTGCTTTTGATCTATTAAAAATTCTAGCAGTTCTTGTGCTAGCTTTGCATCCCCTGTTAGGGGATCTAGCTTTGGATTTACCGAGTTTTACATCTTGCTGTTAGTATTAGAATGCAAATGCAAAATGAAAATAAAATGTATTAAAAGATACTTTTCTCTAAGACAAAGACAGTGCAGCAGTGAAAGGCAGGGACAATATAGGGGTTAGACAGGAAGGTGCCTGATGCACATGGTGGCAGAAAAGCTGGTAAGTCTGGTAGTGAGTTAAGTAAACGATAACATTTGGCCAACTTGCTTAAAAATGATCAAAGTATGAAGAAATAAAGAGACTTTTCCTGGGACTTCTGTGCCTAGGCAACCAGCAGCAAGTGTCAGTCTTTTGCATATATTAAACTATCAGGTGAAAGAGACTCCAGGGAGTAAATGTGCGCAGAAATGTGCTTCATAAATTTATTTTGAGCTTCTCGCATCCTAGCCTGTGTGTTCCATTAACAGCATGATAAAGCAGTTCAAATCAGGCTGTCAGGTATGATACAGAGGGTTGGGTAGGTAATTGATGACAAACAGAATTAGAAGCAGCTTTGTACTGGTTGATACCATGTCACAGAAATTTTTGGATGAGTTTGTTTCTGTTCTTTCCAAGTTCTCAAAACTGAATGTTGAGGTGAACCCCTGAAGTGACAAGATACTTATTTTAAAATTATCTTGATGGGAATTCACGTTTGAAAGATTTTTGATCTGTTTACTTGCTTTCAAAATTGACATAGAAAAGATTACTTCTCGTTTCCCTAGATTTGATCCTGATAGCTAAACACACAGAAAGCTGGTCTGAGGAGGATGCTTTCTGCAGTAAATCTGAAAATGCCATGCCCACAAAATGGGCAAAGCAAGATCCTTCTGTTCTTTTGAAATGGTGTGATCTGTGAGTGTCTCTTTGTCTTTTAATACTTGAGTTAGCATCTTCATTTTTTCTTGACTGGCCTTTATCTTCCCCTGCAGCACTCTCTAATACCACCCTACTCAGACTTAGTGAGGAGCCTCCACCCACCCAAGAGCCCACAGGCTGCTGTAACCCTGCCGTTATCTCAGTCTGCATAAGCTCTGAGTTGAGAAGTGCAGCAGCTTCGCTGCCCCTGTGGCAGTTGGGAGGAAGCCAGCAAGATACCTAATCTCATAGTATTCTTCTGGCCAACTTTCCACGTGATCAGAAAAAAAAAGTACTGCCAAACTGAAATCAGGTCCTGGTTGTGCTGAACTGCCTTCTCTCTTTATGCCTTGTGGCAAGGATGACCGGTGAGCAGCTCACTCAAGGGGCAGATGCGCAGTGGTGCTTGGGCTTTCTTAGTACAAAAAGCACTCCAAACTTCAGACTTGACTTGTGTTTTTCCCAGGTACTCTGTCTTACTTTGCCACTGCTGATCAGGAATATGTCAATAGCAAAAAAGTGGGACAGATTAGTTATCCAGCAACTCTACTGTGTTGGCTAAGGCAGAAGACTGTTCTGAAAAATATAACAACCTTCCCTTTTTCAAAGATATTTCCAATATCTTTTGTAAAGTGTCTGGAAAGGCTGATCTCTGATGCTGAAATCGCTTCTCTCTCAGAGAGACACATAAGTATTTGCTTAGGAGGAGTAGAGGCTCCTATCAGACTTCTCGAGGTGCCAGCCAGTCCCGGTGGGTCACTTGGCCTGACCTTGTGGACAGGCTTCTGGTTACTGTCAGCCTCCACAGTGTACTTACGGTTTAGATATAGCTCAGGAGAGAGGGTATGTAACTGCAACTGCTGTGAGTTTGCCACCTTCCCTCCCCTCCCCTCCTCATTTCACCTGTGGCCATGATGTTGTTTCTTTTTCTGTCCCTTAGCCTAGAAATGTGATTTGGCTAACGTGAAGTGCAACCAAAATTCCCTTCCACTCTTTCAGGAGAAACTAAACCTCCGCCAGCAGCTGAACGAGGCCAAGCAGCAGCTCCTGCAGCAAGCTGAGTATTGCACAGAAATGGGTGCAGCTGTGTGCACGTTGATGTGGGGTGTATCTAGCAATGAGGAAGCTGTTAAAACCATTCTAGGAGGAGTAAGTATGGCAGGTGAATACTTACTGGTGTGTTAGGCCTTTAAAATAAGGACCTTGCTCTAGAACAGACTTATTTCAGAAATTAACTGGACAGCAAAAATGTTTTCTGATTCTTTGGGAATCATCCACTCTCATTTAAGAAGTGTTGGAACTGTGATATGAAGTAGGCTAGAAATAAAGACAGTAATTAATTTTTACTTTACCAAGCAAGGATTACCTGTTTTCCACCACACACAGCTAACCTGGAAGCAAGGGTACAGCTAGCATGGTGTAAATATCCTCGCAAGCTAACAGAAGAAGAAACCAATTCTTGGCATGTGCAGCAGTTCCCATGCCTGTAGAGAGATTGGAGGAGCTATTTCTGTGGAAGGAAGATTGATTCGTCAATTCTCAACTCCTTTAAATCTTTATGTTGCCTTAATATTTACATGAGTCTTGGAAATTTAGAGAACCTAGCTGCTTTGACTCTAGTGAATCTTAGGAAATCTTCAGTGTTAAATATAGACAGGTAGTTTGTCTGGAAAAAGAAAACAAACAGTTAAAGACAATAGTAATATTACAGCTAACACAGTTTCACTGCTAAGTACAGGTGACAGAATTAGGAGGGATGAGAGGAACAAGCCTGAATAAAAATATGTTTCAGTCTTGTGACAACCAACATGAGAAGGAATTATTGTATTTAATGTGCCCGAACTGATGCCACAGTTTCTTCTGGCTTGCTTTTTCAACAGCGTGTTGAGAAGCTGAGTGAATAAAATTAGTTCATTGTGGTAAGTGATATTGTGTTTGTACGAGGTTTTCCAGTTTGGATGCACCAAAAAAAAAATATAATTTTATATTGGATATTACATAAAGCACGAGTGTCAGGAGGATGGAGCCAGGCTCTTTTCAGTGATGTCCAATGACAGGACAAGGGGCAATGGGTACAAGCTGGGACACAGGGGGTTCCGCAAAAACATTAGAAAAACCTTTTTCACTGTGAGGGTGACAGAGCACTGGCACAGGCTGCCCAGGGAGGTTGTGGAGTCTCCTTCTCTGGAGACTTTCAAAACTCGTCTTGGTGCGTTCCTGTGTGACCTACTGTAGGGGATCCTGCTCTGGCAGGGAGGCTGGACTAGATGGTCTCTAGAGGTCCCTTCCAACCCCTGACATTCTCTGATTCTCTGATTAAAAACCTGTACAGTGCTACCTTTTGGTGATAAATTCTGATGATTGAAGTTACTGAAGAAAAAAGGTACTAACAAAAAAAACCCCTGTAAAAATGCCATTTTCAGAACAGTATTTAGTCTTTCAGAATAATATTTAGTGACTAGCTGTTTTTATTTGACTTTTGAAACAGTACTGAAATGGTATGGTTCCCATAACAATGATGATGTGTATAAGGGTTAAACAGCCCAACTATGAAGAGACAGTACTTTTGTTTCTAGATTTGTTTGAAATGCAAAATACTCCTACTATAGTAGTTCTCAGCAATCATTAGAGTTCATTGAACTGCTATACTTCTGGTGAAGGTCAATGCAACGTTTTTTGGACATCATTTTCTTGTGATGGTGCACCAAACACTGTAAGCAGCATGACTGGATTTGCAACAGGACTACTAGGAAAAACGAATGGATTGTAAAACATTGCATCAACCACAGATTACAACTAGCAATGTTTCAGGTTATTAAAAAAATGATGGAGATTTGTCATATGAAGATTTTGGTTAGTTTTGGTTTTTTTTGACAAGTTGTACAACTTGTAGCATCTTCCCCCTCTGAGAAAGTATTGTGAACTACAGAAATGTGTAAGAACATCAAGAGTGCTTTTAAACTGTTGCTCATATTTAAGCATGTGGGGAGAGTGGCATCAATTCAAAGTCATTTCATGCCTTAGGAAACAATGCACAAGTTTTTTTTCAGTCTTTGCACAGATACAGAATCAGATCTCTCATACAGTTCTATAATGCAGATTGACTGAATTGATGTTTGGGACCAATGTGCCATTCGTGTCCATACGAGTTGGGAAGGTCAAAACTTGAGCAGCGAATTTGAAATGTAGCACAAGCAGTTTTCAGGGCAGTGAGGGAGAGATGCCTGCTGTCTCTGCCCATGTATGATGTTTCTAGAGAGAACTTGAAGAAACATCCAGAGAAGCAGCACGGGAGAGAGTTTTTGAGGAGCGCACTTGGTGCGTGCCAAAAGAGAAGTAAATTAATTACTATTAGATTGCTTTAGATGTCTTTTCAAAAAACTTCAAGCAGAAGTTTCAAACCTTCGATGGGGCTCTTGCATGGAAATGCGAAACTGAAGATAAGATTTCAGAACAACATCAAGACTTGCTTCATCTTGGGAAATTTTGGAGCCTACAAGGTGGTCTGCTGTTTCATTTACCTGCTGTGGTGACAATGCTTTTGTATTTCGTGGCAGCAATTTTGCATACTAACCGATGTTTTCAAACGGCAGTTACTTGGACAGTGAACGGTTCATTGAGCCATCTGAGCTCAAGCTGTGCTCAGAACTATCCTTATCACTGTGTCTGTGGGTGAGACATTCTTCAGTCCCATGAAAATACTGTCAAGTTAATAAGAGACTGGGCAGAGCGTGTAATGTTTGCTATTTATAAACCTGATCAGTCTCTGCTGCAGCTCTTCAGACCTCACCACTAGTTAATTAATGGCTCTTTGTAAAGAAGGTTCAGTGGAGAGGACACCCAGCAGCACCTCAAGGGTTTTGCTTGTTCTCTGTGCAACATACCAGCTACTTGGTGCTTAATATTTTAGGATGTTCCTAATAGTTTATACTAGTCTGCTGTAGTAGGCTTTCTTCATTTTCTAAGAGCTCTCGTGCCCTCTGCTTCTTGAACTATAGTCACTGCTTGTGTTACAGTTGCCAGCTTTGAGGTGTAAGTATAAAAAAATACATCTAACACATGCAGAAGAATGCATTTTTTCCATTCGCTTTCCCCACGATCCCTTCATTCTTGTTATTCTGGGACCACAGTGTCATTTGTGAAGATAGTGAGTGTTGATTGACCCTGCTCTTTATGTCCTGTTGCTGGATCCACCGCACAGGAACTGTACGTCTTTGATGTGATGAGTGCGCAGCAGCAGAGGAATAAATAAATGTTACCGGTAGTTTTGCACATATTGTGAAAGCAGCAGTTTTGACAGAATATTAAAATTTCTAGTCACTTTGCAAAATGAATAAAAGTTTGGGCATTTCTTGGGCTGTCCCACTGGGTTGCTGCAGGGAATCACTAAATATTTCAGCTGCTTCGTGGAACAACTGGCAAAATTATTAAACACACTGAGAAACCTGGCATTATGAGCTCTTTGCTGTGCTATTTTTGTTAAGAGAACCAACATCCTCTGGGTGAAGTAGTGTTCCAGACATGTTCTACGAGTCAGAATTATTAACGAACAGAAACGGTTCTCTCCATCCTTCTTTGTGCGCTCTGTCTGCGCTTCTGACCAGGCTCTTTGACATGCTCTGAGCTTTGTACCAGGTGGCTGCCACATTGCCTGAGATACCTCAAAGTGGAGCAGTGTTCTAGCTGAGGGGAGGAGACTGTGTAACATCATCACAGGCTGTGCTCCTGGTTGTGTGCTCTGACGTGATGATCTTTTTTCTCACATCACATTGCTGACTTAAGTTCAACCTGTGACCCAGGAGAGACTCCCATTTCCTTTTCGAAAGAATTTTTGCACAGCTCACTGTTCTTCATCCTGTATTGAGCAGTTAATGAATCCTGTTAAGATCCAGTAATGTTTGTTTTTTTTTTTTCTTTTTACTGGATATTTCATTAGCTTTCTTAGGAAATTCATGCGACAACATCAGGGTGCTTTCCACTCTTCAGTGGGGTGGGGTTTTGACAAAAGCTACTATAGTAGCCCAGGTAAACGTGAAACACTAGTGCAGCTGTTGCAAATCACTTTTGAGAATAAGCTTTAATTCTGCTCTTTGATATATATTGTGGGCTTAGAAGGTAAATATGAAATAGTTTAATTTTATAAATATATGTAGTATTGAGTAGTGTCCCATTTTCTTCTGAGGTCATGATTTCAATTGTTAGGGGATCAAACATGTCGGTGCATACCTGCTATTTTCTGTTGTTTTTTGAAGTAACTAGACATTCTAGTAATTTTGAAAATTGTCCAGTTTTACTGTCCTGTCTAATAATAGTTGCTGTAGTCTGTATAATCTTTTTTTCTTCTCTGCACTTACAGAGTAAAGCAGTAAAGTTTTTCACAATCACTGCACAGACCATGGAGAGCTTTGTGAAGTCATTAAGTGAAGACATGAAACAGCAGGATTTGAATTCTGATGAAAATCAGTTTGTGTTAGCTCTGGCAGGGATTGTAACAAGTAAGTTAATGTTATCTCTCAGAATAACATTCCATGAGTACTGGCAATTTCTGTATTGCCTTGTACGTGCTGCGGTAGATATGGCTGCAACCGGACTTGCCTATCCCGCGTCAGCCTTTTTAGCCGTCAACACGCTTGTAGCAAGTGTGGGTAGAGCCCTTCCCATATCTTCGTTCGCGAAGCCTAGCCATGATGATGATGATTTTATCAGTGTTAATATCTCAGGTGACTTCCTAGTCTTTTAAGGTTCTAGCAGGTTTTGTGATTGATGCTTCTGTGGGGCATTTTGCTGTCTGTGACACAGTTAAGGATTACATGGGTAAGAGCCACAGCTTTCTGAAATTCCCTAATACATCCATTAAATCTGGCGTAAAACAAGGACCATTCCACTAGTCTTGTGTGCTCACCGTAGTTTGTAAATGCCAAACAATTTACTTTCTGAATCACCAATAATGCTAACACCTTCAAGGTCTACGAATTGCAGATGGTGTGAGTAGATCAGCCATGTCTTAAGGTTTGTGCTCAGTATTTTGAAACTGCTTAAGTATTTTCTTGCTGTCAGACAGACTACACCTTCGCTGTCCCCAGTTCACAGTGCTAAGAGAAGTAAAAGGTAATAAACAGGGTTTCTATACTAAGTGTTTCTTTCCATACTAAGTGTTTCTCTTTTAGAGCTACAAAGATGGTCTTAAGTATTTTCTTGCTGTCAGACAGACTATACCTTTGCTGTCCCCAGTTCATAGTGCTAAGAGAAGTAAAAGGTAATAAACATGGTTTCTATACTAAGCGTTTCTTTCCATACTAAGTGCTTCTCTTTTAGAGCTACAAGGATGGTTAAGGGACTTGAACATCTCTCCTGTGAAGAGAAACTGAGAGAACTGGAGCTGTTTAGCCTTCAAAGGAGATGGCTGAGAGGGAATCTTATTAATGTATTTAAATATCTGAGGGGTGGGTGCCAAGAGGAAGGGGACAATCTCTTCTCGGTGGTGCCCAGTAATAGAACAAGAAACAATGGATTCAAGTTAGAACACAGGAAGTTCCACCTCAACATGAGGAGAAACTTCTTTGCCATGAGGGTGACAGAGCCCTGGCACAGGCTGCCCAGAGAGGTTGTGGAGTCTCCTTCTCTGGAGACTTTCAGAACCCACCTGGATGCGTTCCCGTGTGGCTGCCCTAGGGGATCCTGCTCTGGCAGGGGAGATTGGACTAGGTGTTCTCTAGAGGTCCCTTCCAACCCCGAACATTCCATTATTCTAGCATCAGAAAATAAGTAGAAAGGCACAGGTCTATCTTGCAATGGCTGCCCTTGGCTTGGAAGGCCATGAGAAATAGGGTTGGTACATCATCAGCACGTTTGTGCAACTGTCAAAATGATGCTAAGAACGTGATGCAAAGTAAATGAAACAGTAGGTGTTTATACAAATAAGTGAATTGCATTAACAGCTTTTTTTTTGAACATGTTATGTGATGCATTATATTACTGTACCAAGGCGGAATCCAGTTCTAATTGCTTCACTGAAATAAAAACACTCCAAAAAAGCCATAGCAAAAATAAAGTCTGAACAAAGGAAATTGTTAAAGGCAGGGGGTGTTGAGGTTCTGTCTGAGGAGGAATCAAGATAGCAGAACGAAATCTTGCTATACTGAAGCTGATTTAAATTTTGCCCGTGAATTTGATATTACCAAGCTTTTTCTCTTTGACTCTGTAATTTGGGAAAGGAGGTTGCTGAAACTCAAATATGATAAAGGGTACAGTCAGATGAACAGTATAGAAGGTGCTAGTTTAATCCTCCTAGGTATGCTGTAAAATAGTATTACACTAGAAAGCAGTATTAAAAGAACACTGAGGAGGTGGTCAGAAAGTGCCAAATATTGAGAAGTTAGAACACATCCGAGCAGAAGTTCTCACGGCAGTCAGTGTGTGCAGACATTGCAGTAACAGCCTTTAACTATATGCTTTGCCCGTAGTGTGTCTGCTTATTCTGAGGTTAAAAAAGGCATCATGGTGTATGTGCAGAGGAGAGAGAACCTGAGGCTGCATGGAAGTGAAAGAACAGTGTCATGCAGCAGATCCCCAAACTTGTCCTGAATGGGAGGTCGGGGAATCAAGTTCTGTCATGCCGTGTCTCGTGTTTCGAGAAGACTTGGCCAGTTGCACAGTACAGAGAAGCTTGGGTTGCTGGGAGGTACCTCTTGTACATAAGGATGCCCTAAATTATGAGGCAAGCGTAAAGGAAAATACTAAAGGAAGGGCTGCTTTGGAGCAGTGGTCTTCAGAAATATTCTTGCCTTTTGGCTTGTGCATGAATAATACGGCGCTTGCAGAGAGGTAGGACAAGAGCTTTTGAGTTGATGTCCACAAGAATTTTGGTTAGGCTGGGTGTATTGTATTGAGCAATAGTAAAACAATATGAAGTGTCATTTCTTTCAAGTGGGACCTGTAACAGTCAGCTTTGCTTCAGCACCACGTTATTTGCAGATGAATCTAATCTTTTGGTTTGTAATTTGCTGTGTTACTATTCGGATACTTGCCACTCTGAACAATATTTTAATTACTAAACTAGAGTTATGAAGGAGTTTGACTGGTATAATTTGCTATTTCAGTATTTGCTGTTTAGATGAATATAGTTTCAAGTTCATATAGATGCCGTAGTTCATTCTTCACAGCTGATGTATCTTTTTAGTAGTTCTGATAATTAGCATAGACTTTTGTTTGAAACACAATTTTTATGGTGTTTTGTGTTCTCTCACAGATGTTGCTGCGCTGGCATGTGGCCGTGAGTTCTTGGTTAGTTCAAGTCGTGAATTACTGGATACGATGATGCACCTTCTGGGAGACATGAAGCCGGGACTCTGTACCAAATTTAAAGTGTATGACAACTTTTTTTGTTCCTTTCAAATGAAATGTGTTGTCTTGCAGTGTAGGTCACAGTGATGATGGTAGTTTTCTCACTGTCCCATTATTTCTTTTCTTGGAGAGGAAGCCTAATTTTTGAAAACTCTTTTCACTGTAGCATTGCTTGCAGATATACCAGGCTTGGCTACAAGGCTAGCTTCATCCAGGTTTTCTGCATCTTTGGAAGTCTCATAAGCACCGACATGGGCAGGGATGCACCTTTCTACCTCAGAAAGGGCTCGTGAGTTGAGGGTCAGCTAAGGAGGATGTGAGGTCAAGCTTTAAAACACAGGCTGTGGATTATGTGCGCTCATAGTTATTCTCTTCCAATATGAAAACTGTAAAATTCTACATCTGCTTAGTGAAGAAAGTGAGTTGTGTGTATGGTAAAAATGAAATTAGTTTATGTCACTTAGTAGCCAGAAGCACCCTGCACTTACCTTTTTGAAAGGTAATGCCTATAAATGGGCCTTTTGATGCAGTGTTGTAAAGAAAAGGACGTGTTACAGAGTTCAGATGCTGGAAAAGTTGTACTTCTCAGCTGAGAGAGAGATTAAGTAAGTTGTCATGTTTGCCTTTTTCTCAAAACTGCTACCAACTGAGGATATATGTCCTGACCAAGCAAATTGCCATGACTTAACGAGTACTTGCTCATCCACTGTGCTCTGGGCACTTGCCCTGTACACTGGGTTCATTTGTTCAGGAAGATGGCTTGAGCTGCTGTGGTGGGTTTTTTAATAAATGGGACACACACGCACACAGACACACTAAGAATTCATACCTAAGCCAACTGTCACGGCTCAGCCGACAGCCAGCACCCCTGTCAGCCACAGTAACTTGATGGCATCCATGCGTGCGTTTGGGCAGGTTGTACGTGATAGGCATGAAATCAGGCTCAGTCTTAACTTTGGATGGGTTTTATCTTGCCTAACCTTTGCTATCAGAAGGCTGGATGTCAAGTATGTGCGAACTGTCTGGGCTCCTTCCCACAGTCGGTGGAAGGAGACGGTGCTGTTGAATGATCACCCGCTCAGCTCACATTAGAGGGAATGAGTTGCCCTCTGAAGGTTCTTGCCTTTCCTCGTTGGGTAGCAAGGGGAATGCCAAACGGCCTGTGCTATCGAAAGTAGTTCGATACTTTGATGTCAGTCATTTATTATGTTTCCCATATGTTGGTGTTTTGAAAGTCAGCACCTGGCATGGGGTAGTTAACTCTTGCAACAGCAAGGTGTTTCTTGTAAGGTCTCAACCAAAGATTTGGATGAGAATCTCAGCTTAGAAAAGGCAACTTGTACCTTCATGCATATAATGGAGAAAAACACGAGAAGAGGGCCTATACTGTTTGAAAATCTGTGCAGCAAAAAAACCAAACAAACAAGAGACAACTTTATTTTGTGAAGAAGAGGGAGAGGAAATCGTTCCCAAACACAAACACACATATTTCAAGTGAATGTGTGTCTATGGGTCCAGATGAATTATTTTTGATCATTTCAAATTGTATTAATGTAATTGGACAATGTAATTTGAGAGCCTTCCTTTTGAATTGATGGTTTGAGGTTTTTTTCAATTACATTTCAAAATCTGCATGCATTGCAGAAGAATTACACATGGTGGTATAAAGTTGTCTGCCATACTACAATACTGATAAAATACATATAAAACAATCCCATGAAATAACTAGGAGTTTGACAGGGGCCAGCCTCTCAGGCTGACAAATTGAGTAAAACTTGAAAAAGAGATTGCACAAGGTATTTGATAAGTGAGAAATGTTGAGCATATGTTACAGTACTTTGAATTGAGGGCAGTGATAATGTTTTCTAATGTTTCACAGAACCAGCAATTTTTTCGTTTTATTCTTGAACTTGCTATCTGAGAAAAAGAATTGCTGTATTATGACATTAGAGCAAATGCCAAAAAGGAAATTTCTTCATGGCCTTGTCATGGAATAAGGATTCCTAATTTGCTCAGATGTTTCAGTGCAAAATGTTTCCCCTGCATTTGTGGTTGGGTTTGTTTTTGTCTATGAGTTCCCTACGTGTCTGTCACTGTTCAATTTTTAAAACCCGTTGCAACACTAAGTCTATTTCCTGTCCCTTTTGGGGATTTTGTACTCTCCTATCCTGGCAAAGAAGGGGCTTGAGGGTTGGTTGGTTTGTTTTTAAATTGTTCTCTGCATGTCAGATTTTTTAGCTGCTTCTTAAATAACCAACATTTTCATACGCAGATGTGTCAGAAGAACTCTTCTCTCCCTACTGGAAGGAACATAAGGCAGTACAAAATGAAAGACAATTGTGAGATAAGGGGATGATAGTTAACGTAGTGAAACTGTAGTGAAATTTCAAATTAATGTATAGACAGATTCTAGAGTCATCATAAATAATCATAGAATCATAGAATGGCCTAGGCTGGAAGGGACCTTAGAGATCATTTAATCCAACCTCCCTGTCATGGGCAGGGACGCCTCTCGACTAGATCAGGCAACACATAATGTTTACAAACACACTGAAATACATACATACTGATACATTTTTTAAACTATCCTTCATGGATGAAAATGTCTGTACACTATTTTGGAAATGCAATGTTTTTTTTCTCAAAACGTCACCATGATATTACATGGAAGAACATTGGCAACTTAAGCCAATTTTTTTCTATAACTTTAAATTTTATTGTTTTCGAATATATGTTTGTCCTTTGCTCAGTTTGAGATTTTACAGTTCTTTTCTAGCTTTCATTTTCAAAAGTATTTTTCTTCACTGTGTGATAAATCAGGGGAAACTGTGAGTCTTATTCTACACACAGAAGTACCAAACTAAGTAAGCTGATAGAGGGGAGTTCTCTCTCCTCTTCTAGTTCTGCCAATTCTATGTTGTACCGGTGTATAAGTTTGAAAATTGTAGAGAAAAGTTGTCATTTATTCCAGCACTGCTACAATATCGATTGTAGTCCATTAGTATGTAATAAATACATCCAAGGCATCTGCATGAGTGCTGGGACTGAAATGGCATGGGTATCTTTGCCTTGCTGAGGTAGCAATGGTGTCTAAGACTTTAGGTTTTCTTCTCATTTATGTAGAGTTTCTTCAACATTTATAATTGTTAGGCACTCAATAAACAAATGTTCATAGCTATAATTAAATTGTTATGAATATTCAACTTTGCTTATGTAGCAGTTGAAAGTATCCAGTAAAAATATGTACTTTAGTACCTAGCAGCACATTTTATGTACTGATCCCATGTATTTAGCACATGAGAACATGCTTTAGCTGTGCTTTTATTTCTCAATTTTAAAGAAAACATTAACAGATATAGTAGTACAAGATGTTAATTAAATTTGGTGTGCCTGAATAGGGAGACTATGAAGTACATAATTAAAAAGTCCCCCACATTAAAAGCAAAATAAACCAGGAAGTATTGTTTATCCGGTAATGATGTGTGTCGGGTTTGCTTCAGTAAACGCTTTTGCAATAATTATCACCAAAAAAACTTAATAGAATGTGCAAGTGCTAGAGATGAAGGTGGTGTAAAGGGCCTGGAAGTGCTTCTGTGTTGTGCTTAGGTGAGTGTGTTTAATTAGTAATAATATGCGGCATTGGCTCATGGAGTGAGTTACGTCTTCTTTTGCACTCCAAAACTAGAGCACTTCCCTGGATCACCACTACTAGTCACTTTTGTCTGCAGAAAGCAAACAAGTGAAATAAAAATACAAACACAGCAGTATCTCTTTATGTCACTTTATTTCTAACTGCAAATGTCAAACAGATTAAGGATGAAAGATGTTGTCAAGAAATGTTAACACTTTCCGTTATAAAATACTGCTTTATTGATCATTTTTGTTCTGGCTGATTGTAGGTAATTATGGCTGTGCTCCTTGGTTGAGGCTTGGGCTCTGGAAGCCAAGTAAGAGCTGCAGAGGCTGTGTGAAAAGAAGCGTATGGGCTCTACAAGCTGTGATTTCAGTTCCACAGCACCCCTCACTGCTTGTCAGTGGCTGCTGATGCAGTAGATGTAATCGTGTGCTCTTTCCTCTTCCTACTGCTTAAGAGCCTAGGTGATCCAATTCACAGCAGTGCAGCACATAGTGTGGGTTATACCTGCAGTGGGTTACCGTCTTCCCTGCATTCTGAAGGCATGCACAGAGAGTGTCCAGAAGTCTGTTGGTGGCATAATAGCTTAAGCCATAAGAACTCGTCTGAGAATAGGATGCGAGGTGTAAAGTCCATTCTGAGTAACGTTATTTCCCTTTCATCTAGAAACGGTGACAGTGCAGTGAAGCGCAGGTTTATCACACTCATGAGAGACAGCAGCAGCCAAGCTGGCCCCAGAATGGAGAATGTTCCAGCCGATTCCTATTTCATAGAATCATAGAACACGTTGGGCTGGAAGGGACCTGTACAGGTTATCTAGTCCAACCCCCCTGCAGTGAGCAAGGACAGAGCCCCATCAAGTCTGACCTTGAATACTTCCAGGGATAGAGTCTCCCAGCACTTTCTGGGCAACCTGTTCCAGTGCTCCACCATCTCATTGTAAAGAATTTCTTCCTGATAGCTAATCTAAATCCACCCTGCTCTAGTTTAAAATCATTGCACCTCGTTCTGTCGCTGCATGCCCGTGGGAACAGTCCCTCCCCATCTTTCCTGTAGGCCCCTTCAGGCACTGGAAGGCTGCTATAAGATCTTCCTGGAGCTTTCTCTTCTCCATGCCAAACAACCGCAACTCTTTGGACACAGCATTACAGATGAGGTCTCACCAGAGCAGAGGGGCAGAATCCCCTCTCTCGACCTGCTGACCACACTTCTTTTGATGCAGCCCAGGATGTGACTGGCTTTCTGGGCTGTAAGCGTGTGTTGTTGGCTCATGTCCAGTTTTTTGTCCACTAGTAACCCCCAAGTCCTTTTCTGCAGTACTTATATTGTCTGCAAACCAGCACCTGGCTGTTAGTGGGTATGATGACACGTTCCATAAATGTTATAGGAGCGCTGCTTGTTCGTCTTCCCTTTTCATCACCCAGAAGATTGACTTACATGTTATCATATTAAAAATGAAATAAAAAGTAATACTATCCATCATAGCATATCATAACAAAACATATCATAACAAAATGCTCTGCATCGAGTATTAGCAAGTGCTTGGGACGGCTTTGGAAAAGGAGACTTATTCTGAGCTCCAAGTTACCATACTTGGCTGGCAGTTGAAAGCAGCTAAAAGTAAATCTGACTCAGGCACTCCATCTGCATGAAGAGGTAGAGCTGCCATTTCTGCTTGCAGCTTCCTCTGCCCGCTGATGTGCCCTCAGCTCTGTCATTGTGAAGGCTGAGTGGGTACCCGTAGTCAAACTCACTTTCCCTGATAGGTATCAAATTTTGCGTGTTACTGGTCATAACTGGAGCTTTTCACGTCTGCAGTAACTTCAACATGAGCTGCTGTGGGAGAAGCAGGTGGGATTGTCAGACTACAGCAGTCCTTTCAAAATACAGAGCCTTCTCCAGCCCACCTTGTTTTCTCTCTCCAGAAGAGTTTGAGGCTTTGGTTTAATTTATAACCTGTTATGTATGCAGCCCCAAAATGACTAATGAACTTACTATTTTAGGAGGCTAATAAATTAGGAAGTCCTGGTTTTGGAAGCTTTTGAAAATGTGGCTGAAATTAATGTATACTTACTATGTGTATTTTTATTTTGTGGTTTACACATGGACATGCAAGAGTCAGTCTTGGTTTTGGTTTCTCAGAGATGTCATCTTAGGCTTTTCTCAATGCTAAATCAAGGAAATATATTCTAGGTGTCAGGCCATAGACCTCTGTTACCTGGAAGACAGGATATGGTTTCTGCCCTCCTTCAACATCAGTGACCATAAGAAGAGATCGAAAGACATCACCTTCTGAGCAGAAAAAAAAACACACACAAAAAAAGGCATTGAGTGGACCTAAATGTTATTTGGAAACAATTTTGAAGAAGTGTAGGTGAAAGTACCGATTGGTCTGTGTTACTCTGCTGTTGATCTATGCTAAGACAAGAGCACAGTTTACAGCTAAATTGAATTCCAGTGCTATTGACTTAAAAAAAAACCCACATCCACTTGTACATTGAACATAATCAGTCCAGATTCCTAAGGCAGAGTAAACAGCAATGCCTGTGGTGACATTTTAAGAGACAAGCAGTTGGTTTTTTTCACAGCAGGTTCTCCCTCAATAACCAGAGGGGTTGGAGAGCCAGGCCCCTTCTCTGCCTTGCACCTGTAGCAGAAGGGATGAGTCCAGCTCAGGAGAGAGTATGCTAAGCTGAGCCAGGACTCCTAATGCCTTTCTTCTCCCTCCTTCAGACTCCCAGGGCAAACAGCTTATCTGAGAGGATCGTCTGCCCAGTGGGGATTGTCACTATGAAAGCTCTGTTGTATAGCTTGTGCAGACACATAAAGCTAAGCCCTTGTTTTGCACATTTCATGTAATGAATCTCATGGAGTTTGATGAGACTTTCTTGCTCTCACATGGGATGTTTGTCCACATGTTTGAAAAATGTGATTTAATGGTAGAGACAAGGTTTTGCACAGTGTCACTTATATATAATTTGAGACCTGTCTTTTATCGAAACATAAGTTATTAGAATAGGCTTCTTCATCAGTACATGCTTAGCATAAATAGTAACCTATGCCAAAACGTGCAAAGAAATAAAAGGTCTTCATATGTGTTTTATCTTTCGATTCTAGGCTAATGCTAATGTCACTTTACAACGTGAGTATCAACTTGAAAGGCTTGAAGTACATCAGTGAAAGTCCAGGTTTTATTCCTTTGCTTTGGTGGCTGTTAAATGGTAAGTTGCTCTAAGAACCTTGTAAATTATGACCTTGGGGATTGGCAGTAGGCATTGCAAACAGCAAAACATTTTTATGTATTTAACCTGATTACGCATAGCTTTTGTCAGATTAAAGGTAGACAAACAGGGCAAATAGCTAGAGGAAGAAGATACGCATTTTCAACAGTATTTATTGGCACTTTATGTAACATTTGTGACCTACTGTAGGTGATCCTGCACTGGCAGCGGGGCTGGACTAGATGATCTTTTGAGGTTCCTTCAACCCCCTGACATTCTGTGGTTCCATTAATATAAAATTTATGGATGGCAGAATTAAAAATAGGAGATGGAGAAATTTGATTAAGCAGATTAAAAACCAGCCACCTGTAATTTCACATGCCAACTTTAAATTAAACTCTAAGGGGCAACTATATATTCGATCGTTACCATTTAACAAAAGAAAGGGTCACTGTGCTCCAACACATTTCGGGGAGGGAAGCCAACCTCTGTAATTATGCTCACCCCTGACAAAAGTGACGCTACAGCTGAGCCTTGTGCCCTAATAGGATTTGGGCTTGCAGGGCTTGAGTGCTATTCCCAGCTTTGCCTTTGGCCAGTGCAGGGCTTCAAGGACATCAAGGGACATCTGTTGCCCCTGTCAGGTACAAGAGTGACATCAAGGCTCTGCTCTTTCGGAGGCTTCAGATCCCTGCGTAGGAGCCAGCAGAGACTGACGTTGCCAGGGTGTGCTGGACTTGGCTGGTAGCTATGTGCACAGCTTGTAAGGGACGATGAGGACAACAGTAAGGACAGAGCTGTGACACTGTCCTGCCTGGGAACTGCTCCTAGAGTTGCTGTCTTGGGCTTTGTCAAGTTTTTGTGGCTTGTCCATGAGAAGATGTTTTGGCGTGCGGTTCACAGGACCTGGGGAGGTCAGTCACCTCGGCTCTCTCTGCTGCTGTGCAAAACCCTGTTGTAATGCAACTGGTAAATGCTAACAGCAGCTGAAGTGAGAGAGGTTCCATCTGCTTTTTTGAGGAAGTGATTTCACACTAAAGTTCTGGAAAAGCTTTGATTTGGGCTGGTAAATTGGAAGCCATTTGTATTGTTTACAGTTCCTTCAACTGTTTTACAGAAAATGTAGGTACTCATACTTTTCGCCATATAATTTACTGCTCTGCAATGCCATAGGCTCGCTCTTCCAGAAGTCCCAGAAAATTAAGTAATACGTGTAAAACTGTTGGAAAACACCCATTTTATTAGTTTTTTTTTATACAGTTTGAGAAAAATTATATTCTCAGAGAACTTTGAATACATGGTACTTTGTTCTGCTGCACTTAGAAATTTAACATATGTGAGTCTAGATTTTCCTTTTACTTTTTGTTTGGCTAGCATATATATAAGCAGTTGTTCAAGCAAAAAAACCCTACAACCACAAAACAGATGAAAACACCAGAAAAACCCTGAACAGGCTTAGAAATCCTGTCTCAGTGTCTAAATGCTGTGATAAAGCAAAGAAGCTAATAATTTGATTCAGTCTGTTGTTTGAAGAAGTCTCCTGGGTCACATAAGAGGATGAAATGTGGCACAGTTATTAATTTGCAGCTGCTAATGGAAATAAGAAATGGAAAGGCTACTCTGCCTTTTGGAAATGTCAATTGTATATGGCTGGGTTGTAGAAGGAGAGATGGGCATGGGTAATTCCTTCACTTTTTGCTAATAAAGTTCCTTCCAAAGGAGGAAGATTCTCAGATAAACCCCATCTTCAGGTTCAGATTTCTGACTTCGGAGGAAATTTACTTACTGTCAAGGGGGATGGCTGACTAGTTTGCATATCAGATGAGAGGTCAGATCCAAGACCCGATCTTGTTCCCATCTTTTTGTACAAGATTGCTGTCATTTTCTCTACATTTCATCTCTTTCTGCATGCTTCAACTTGCAAAACTTGATAACTTGCTCCCACTTCTGCTCCTCTCCTGTTTCTGTGGCCAGAATCTGCAGCTCCTACTAGCCACGATGCAGCTTAGAAACACCTGGAGCTGCTACAGCATAAGGTCTTACTGTTTTTTTTCAGGCAAGAGTGTGCTGCACTCTGCTTACAGGCTATCCTGTATACGTTGCCTTCCTCTAGGAAGGTTTTTCAAAGAGTGTTTAGTAAATGATTCAGCTTTCTGCAGTTCTGTAAGCTTTTATTGTCATTTCCACTAAGAGGAGCCCCAGAAATCATCCTCTGACTTTTATTTTTCTTTTCTTTTTTAGTATTTTAGAGAATCATCTTGTTTGCTTTTCCATCATTGGTCTGTAGTGTCTGTAACCTCAGCCTATACATCAAGGCCATTTTTCTACCCCTGGCTTGTACGCAGCTGATAAATGCCTCAAATTCCTTCTCTTAATCCTGAGCCTCTTCCCAGTCGACTTGTGCCATGAAGAATGTTCTTCCCATCAAGTGAGGAGAGCAAATGATGAACTTAATTTTCTTTATTCCTGTTTGTTGTATCTGAAGCAAAGAGGGATTTGATTCAGGTTGTCTAATAGGCTTTTTGATGAGACAGAAGAGGAGGAAAAAAGTATCATAAAGATTTCTAGTGGAGTAAGAATGTTAACAGCAAACTGCATTCGTCTGTCCTGCTGTCTTTAGAAAATGTAGACGAGCCAGTATGACTTCGCACTCACTACTAAGAATCCTTAATAGGTCTTTCTGCTGGAGACTATACTGATACTGGGAGACAAACAAACGTTTGACATGCTTCTTGAAGGTAATGCAGATCTTTGTAGTTTTAACACTTTATGAGGTGGGCTGGTTTTTTTTCTTTCCACCTCTTAAAATACTGTCTAAAAGATGGGCACCCTTCAATAAGCAACGCTGGTCGATGAAGAAAATGCTCTGGTAGCTTACGTAGCTGTTGTAGTCTTGTGTAGGTATCAGCTGTGCCTCCTGGCACCTTGCCAGCTGGGTGCCAAACCTAAAACATATGAATGATGACTCAGATTTCTGACTGTGGAGCAGCTTGTGGGATCAGTAGAGTTCTCTTCTTGAGGAGCACCATTTGTTTGCAGAGCAGCTGTTCCCATCGTAAGAGCAAAACGGCAGCTTTAGTTTTCTCCATCAGCTGCTGCCCCTTTGTTGTTGACTTGGCTAAGGGGTTTGTAACTTCCACATTTAAAGAAAACTTGTCCTCAGCAACAGAAAAAGAAGTTAGATTCTTTGGGGAAGGTATCCACTTGAAATTTGACAGTGTTTTTACTGGTGCTTTACATCTATAGATGCAATAAGACTTTAATTCTGTAATTCACAAAAAGGTAAACTGGGACTTTTGTCTGCCAAGGATCTTTTGAAGAATAGGAAGACACAGTCGACTAATGTATTAATAATATAGACTGGGTTTACATTTTTCATTTTTGATGATACAGAACATCTACCAACAAATGGGTGCAGGACAAAATGTGCCAAGGCTCTTCTCTGCTTTTTTTAATTATTATTTTTATTATCTTGTATCTTTATTGTGATTTTCCTCACTTGCCTTTTCTCTGAATGTAGTTAAATAATTTCTTTCCCTGGATACATGAGAAAGTGTAGAATTCAGAGAGACTGGCAGTGACATTTCTCATCTGTAGCTGAGAAATTGCTCCAGGTACTTCATTAAACAAAAGACAACGAGAGAAGTGTGACTAATTTTAGATCTTGCCCTTCAGTTTCCTCCACCACAGTTCCACACGGAAATCTAACCTTGTTTATCCAAATTCTTTGCAAATGACGGTCTCTATATAAATGCCTGTATGAAGCGCGTTCTCATTTTGCTAATGCTGCTTGCAGCCTTCAATATTTGCTTTTCATGACTAACCCAGCAGGTTTTCAATGCCTTGTTCTTCTGTTTGTATTAGGTATGGCTGTGAGAGTTTTTGAAAATCCAGGTTATTTGCATGGTAGCATGTTATTTAAAAGACATCTGGACAAACAAAGTCCCCTTATTTATAAACTGGTGTCTGCATTAAAAGACATTTTGGCTCATAAATCAAAACCTCGGTTAGCAGACTTTGAAGTTCAGAACATTTTCATATTCTTCAGATTATGAAGCTAGTCTTGCAAAGAGAATTGTGCCCTTCTTGCCCTTCTTGCCACATTCATTTTCATAAGTGCAAAGATGTCAGCTCTGACGCAGAAAGTCCCTGAACTGTAGTTAGCTGAGAGGCTGAAGAGTGGCCAGGGATAGTTTTACTGAACCCTTGCCCTTTTCCATGCTCTTCTCTAGGCAGCTGCTGCAAATGATACTTGCCCGGATGGGACTCCTCCTGGGTGTGGTGTGGCTGTCCTGGCCATCTGAACAGGAGTTTCTTGACTAGGTGCTCACTCTGCAAACTCATGCAAGCTGATGCTCTCCTGAGGAGCACAGTGTTTCTCCTTTTGTGAATGCATGTAAGAAACCTTAACTCTGGTAAACGTGCCTGTCACTGTAAACTGTTGGTTTTTTCTTACATTGTTACTCTAATTCAGTAGCTACTGTGGGAATCCTCAGAAGCCCAAGCTAGGATTGATGGGAGCTGGACAACTTAACGTGACAGCTCCCTTGCAAAACTGTCACCTGCAAAGCGATGTCTGTGCAAGCTTCTTTTCGCTCACAGCCCCTCAGCGGTCAGGCAAATAGCAACCAAATTGTTTCTTCGATCTGGACCCTGGGAGACTCTCTCCAGGATTTCTCTGGTAAAAGCATGACAAGCATATGTCTGTAGGAGAGCGAGGAATTCTGGTTAGCTAAACTCTGACTGTGAGAGCAGGTACCTGGCCAGGGAGGAGACTGAAGCCAACCCAGCTGTTATACAGGAGTGGGGGCAAATATGTTGCAGAGAGGAAGTGCATTTGCATCTGTAGGAACTGCAGTAGTGAAGCTCAGTCCTTTTCCTGCCACTGCGTTCTCTCTGCTCCCTCTCCACATGGTGTCTTTATTGCAACAGTTTTTGTCTCCTCAGGCCTATCAACATTATGAAAATGTCTGGAAAACTGTCTGCTGCAGATACTTGCTCAGCTCCACTAGCACTGGCAATGCAAAGAGATCTTACATGGGGCAAGTTGTGGCCCCAGCTCTCTCTGTTAGACGTGCTGTGAACATAGGTAGTCTGACAAGTTCATAAAAGGGGAATGGGAGTGGCAGGTCTCCCCTTTGTGCTGGAATCTGGCAGTAATTGAATTGAATGACATTTATGACAGCAGTGGGAAGCTTTTGAAATACTGTTCTTGTACACAGACATAGCTGTAAACAGCTTGCTGGCAATGACTCTTGCACTCAGGTGGCCAGGGAGTGGTATGGGCATGTGCAAATTGATTTCACACAACTCGGAGCCAATTGCAGATAAACCATTTAGCATTGATGTAACGCAATTACTTAAACTCTGCTGTAAGGAACCGTTCATCCGAGAGCATGGTGCTAATTGCAGATGTGACTAAAATCTGCCAGTGTTATCAGTTGCTTTTGTCACTGACTGGAAGCCAGTGACATCAAACGGTGGTGCTGGCAGCTAGCAGAACGTCAGCAGGCTCCAGCAGTTTCAACACGTTAAAATTGCATCAGCATTCTACGATGGTGGTAGGCTTACGCTATGCTTGTCATCCCCAACTGAGGCAAGCAGCTTGATTTCTTCTCCTAGTCCCCAGAAACAGTGATTGTAGTTTTGAAATTTTAGTTCAAGAGATGCGTGTGCTGGTTGTTGGGAGGATATGATGCAGTGATTTGATTACAGCTAAAGGATTTTTTTGATCTTGTAGAAACAAAATGTTACTCAGCTAGTGTAGAAATGACTAAATCTGGAAGGTATTGAAATAAATATAATGCTGAATAATGAAGATTCCTTACATTTCTTCTGAGTATTCTTTAGATGGGGTTTTAAGAAAAAATCCCTAATGATATTGGAGAGATAAGACTTCTGGGGTGTTTTTATTTTAAATCCTGTTAGAAAACATGATTATAACTAATATTCTCAAAACCACATGAAATCCTAAGGGAGTATATTTTGAGGCATATGTATTTATTTAAGTCAAAGCATCTCGGAGTACATGCAAAACAATGACAATCAGAGATTAAATGCATATTAAGTCATCCTCTGGTGCAGGATCATTTCCTTCCTTTTCTGTATGTCCAAGTGCCTAATCTGTTCCTCATTTGAGTGACTCAAGCCGCTGAGCTTCCCTGGTTGCTGCTGGAGATTCTTCTTCCTAGAATCTCTTTGCCCTTACTGGAAAATGCTCTTGCTCGTCAAGCTGAAAATCATTTCCTGATCTCCTGCAGATCCTAATTTTGTTAGCTCCCCCGCTAACCCTTCTTCCCTGATCAATTCTTTACGTTCTACAGCCTTTCAACGCTTGAAGATAATGGTAATATAGATGCCTGTAACAGTGTTAATAATAAAGCACTTTTCATCCAGGGATTTAAAGCATCTTACATATATGAGGCTTCCCAGCAGTGAGATGTAAGCCATTAAAAGTATTAATGGCTTTATTTCATGGAGGAATCATGTCACGCAGAGGAAGATTGTAATGAGCTACATACATTTCACTTCCAAAAAGCTTCTTTTTTCTTACCTATTTGGGCTATGGTTTGTTGCTGCTATTTCCAGTGAATAAATGTAGAATAATACTAAATACAGAGAAAGGGTACAGGTGATATGTGCAGAGTTTGAACATTATATCTGGAAAAAAAAGAAAGGAATTAGAAAAATCCCTCTGGTAGGCATGAATACACAAAAGGAGGAAATGAGAGGACAAAATGAAGGCTTTTAGTAATATTTTGATTAGGTCAGAATAGATCTGAAAACCAAAGCTTGCACCCAAGTATTTTTCAAAAGTACTCACTGAAGTAATTGGACATAAAGACTTGCTATCTGTGAGGCCAAGTTGCAGTGTTTCTCCAGGAGTCATAACTGCTCGTCACTCAGAAAACTGCACCTGCAGTACTGCTGGAGATGATGATGGTGGGAAGAGACTCCTTAGAGCCTTCAGCCCAGGTGGCAGCAATAGGAGTGGCTGTGCGATGGGTGTGGACACTTCTCTGGGGTGTGTGGCACTAATCATTGGGGTTTTTTTAATGCTGGCTTGAATGTCTAAAGATGTCCAGTATGCCCAATAGCTAAGATTCTCGTTGCAGAGAAAATCAGAAAATGCATGTCATTGGATGGTTTTGGACACTTGCTACGTCCTCGGATTATAGCCCCCTTTGCTAGTTTCCCAGGATAAAGCAGAATTCCTTTCTTAAGAGGTTTACATTTTAAATAGGGAAGAAGATAAGGTAGAAAAGAATCTTCATTTAAGATGGAAAATGGAGGATGAGAGTGTGCCTGGCTTGTGGGTGTAGATCAGGTGTCACAGTCTTTAGTACCATACTTCAGCCATGTGCTAGTGGGAATTATTTAAATTACCATCTCATCAGCCAGTTTCATGCTTAAAGCCATAGTCTTCTTCACTGTCCATCACATTCCATTTTCTCCCTTGGGTGTTTTCAATATTTCCTCTTACGCTTTAATGAATAATTCTACTTAGTCCTTTTTCAGGTCGCCAGTGTTAAGTATTAAATAAGTCAGGAAAGGAAAGAACTTGCCTCAGCCCACCAAATGCCTCCTTCAAATTCAGTACAATGTGGTTTATTGCTGTGCTGCATTTATGCTCCTTCAGTGAGATTTTGGTCTCTGTGGTGATTCCATGTGTGAGGTGATCTGAATTAATTTTTCTCAACATTTCTGCACAACACTTTATCATAAGCTTGTTGAAAATGAGGTATGCTAATGACAAACACGTAAAAAATGCATGGCACGTGGAACAAATAACTACTTCAGCCATAAAAATATATTACACATTTTCATTTGGAATATGCAGAATAGAGAAGTGTGAAAATGGAGCTTTCTACCAAATGCTTTTGATAAAGCTATAACCAATTAAATGCAAATGGACTGTTGTGAACAATTAAAATATAATGTTCCTAATGTTTCAGTAATTAAAAATGCATTCTGCACTCTTAACAGTAGAGTAGTTCTATGTCTTCCTTGCTTAAGTCAGTCAAAGGTCTTTGCTGCATTTCTCTGACGCACTCCGAAGCAGCAGGGTTTAGCTTCAGTGCCCGTTTCAATTTCATGTAGACTGAATTAAACACTTGGAAGGTTGATACATGGTTACCAGAAAGTTTTATAAAGATTAATATTTTATTGAGCTTTGAAGAAATCTGAAGGCTTGTGTAAAAGGAAATTAAAGAAAAGCCTAGTGATTTTCTGCAGGTTTGATTAGTTGCTCTGTTTGTTTTTTAAGTCTGAATAGTCATGGGACATAGCTTGCTCTGCTCTTAAATCAGATTGCACCCAATGGTACGTTTTGGCTACTGACCAGATAAATTCAAGTTGATAGATTCCCTGATGTATTGCATTTTCAACATCTGAAAACCAGGAGAAAGGTTCCTGGTTATCTGTCCCTCCCAAACACTGCTGAGCACAAGCTGCCGAGGAGGGCGAAGGTGTCGTTTTCAGGTTCCTTTTGGAGTCAGTCAGCCAGCCAGCACCAACTGGCAGCTCCGAATTACAAAACTTCAGTTAGTCCCAGTCTGCCTGGTGGGTCGTGAGGAATGGCACTGTAGAGCTTTAATGCTGCTTTTTTGGACTTGCTTCTCATAAGCACTGGGGTTTTTTTTTCCTCCCCCACTTCTAGACCCAGATACAGAAGTTTGTCTTCATGCTCTGCGGCTCCTCCAGTCCGTGATTCTGGAGCCAGAAGTGTTAGCCAAGTCGGCCTCGGAGATGCGAGATACTTTGCCATTTCAGCGTATCATTGCACTGTCAAAGAGCCGCAATGCAGAACTGCAAGCGCTTGCAAAAGAGCTACTTGAAGATCTTAAAATACTTGAGTATGAAGCGTAGAAGAGCTCTATGACACCAACTGCTTACGTCTTGCCTATATTTTTTTATGCTGCAAGAGTTGGTGGAGGTGGGCTTGACTGCAAAAATCCTCTGCCTGAGTTCCTCTGACAAAATCCTCTTCAGAAATTAAGTAACGCCACTAAAGTCACACTTGGGAACATGTGTTGGGTTTTAGCTGCCCGAATACAATCTTAGGTGATCTGGTAGAGGTGGGACACTTAATTTCTTCAAGCAGGATTTTGTTGATAATGGGTTTCCAAAATGATCCAGGTTATATTGTCTGTTTGCCATATATAGGGATTAAAATAGTCGTCATTCATTGGCAATACGTAGTTTGTTGCAGTGGTAAATAATCCTTTTGCGGCATCCTTAAGAATTTATTGCACTGTGAGGAAAACTTTGTTGCTTCTCAGAACTCTTCCATGTCACGATGTATCTCAAGTTCCAGTTTTATTGTTATTTCTTACCTACCTTTTTCTATTCTAATAAAAGAAAACTTAAATTCTGTGGCATGTAATGGATTCTCCTTTCAAAATTTGCATTCAGATTCACTCGAACTGCAAGTCAACCGAGTATATGGCTGCCAGGTGTGCTAGAAACCAAGCCTTTTTTTTTTCTCAAAAGCCCTGAAAAAAGGAAATTATTAATGTTGTCCGTGATACCTAGTTGTGTGCTCAAGAGGCTAAAATGAACTGCTCCTCTGTCATGAGCGGAATTGCGGTCCCTCATGACTTTCGTGTTTGTTCGGTTTGCTTACCTCAGTGGTAAATACAAACATTTGTGTGCTTTGTGTTGGTAGAATTTACACGTTTTTAGGATAAAAATAGCATCCATTTCTGTGGTGACAGAAACACAGACAGGTAGGAAATAGCAAATGAGAAATGTAATACTTTGGTAACAGCTTTTTCCATACTGAAGTTATGGTACCTCAGCTGTAAACTCAATGTATTAACAAAACACACCATGGACTTCTAATCCAAATGTGTAGAAAACGTGAAGTAAACTTCACAGAATTTAAATACTGTGATTGGCAGATGGTTTTAGAGGAAGACCGTTGTAAAATGTGTAAGTTAAGGCATAGATCATCACCAGTTAGGCTGTTTGCAGAATGATGAATGCTCCGAGTTAGAAATGTAATAAATCCACTTAAAATTACTTTAAATAATTGGCTCAAATTCTACAAATGGAAGCAGTCTGATTTGGGACCGTCTAAAATGAAGATTAAGATACAGATCTCACATATGTGGAAGGGTTGCGTGGGGTTCTGCTGTTGTCTGATTAAATAGTACATTGAACTTCCCAAATGCTGATTTTTTTAAGGCTTTAAAATCTTCTTTAAAGCATGCTTTCTCTGGATTTGTTTTCTTATCTTGCAATGCTAGTTACACCTCCTAGAGTTTAATCCTAAAGGGATCAAAATGATAATCAGTAATTTCCTGGAATATCAACTCATGAAAATTGTTCAATTTTAAGAAACACTAAAGGGCATCCACTTTCTGTTTAACGGGTATCTGCTCATGAATATCTTCCATCAAACCTTTGAAAGCCAGTAAATAACAAAAGAAAAAAGGTGATTTTATGAGCAGAAGATTTGGTGAAGCCTCATGTCCTGTGGATTAGAGATATTTCTTGAAAATTTTTCGTTCCATTCCACCTGAAACCAAGGCCACCCAAGGGGCAGTGTGGAGCGCACAAGCTGGAGGTCACACAGATGCTGATGGCTAGGTTGGTAGCTGAGGCGATGGGCTGGTTAGCTGCCAGCAGGCAGGTTGTATACCCCTCTGCCAGCTTTGCCCTCATGAAGGTTTAAATTTAGGTCCTTTCTGCTGTTCTCTCAAGCTGGTCATGGAGCTTAAGGCATCTTAATTATCTTTAAGATGTCGTCTCCTTCTGTCAAGTTTGCTCGGAGCTGACTGACAGATTCAAATGTTATGAGAGGGACTGGCAATGCAATTGCACCTCATCTCCGTGTGAAAATCAAGAAACAAAGGACTGAGGACTCTTCATTCTAGTTGTGTGTCCACTGGCATGGTCAGCACTTACTTAAAAGCCACACCAAAGTTGGTGATTCAAGACGCTACAGCTTTTCCCCAGCAAGCCTCTCAGATCTGATGGTAAGTCTTTGAATGCCTTCCAGATGAATTTTTTCAATTATAGGTCACCAGAACTGTTTCTTAGAATCAAGCCAATGACCCACAGACCTCAAGAAAGTCCTTTTTCTGTACTGTTTCATTACGTAAGACTGATAAATAAGAAGCAATCACCCTTTCTGTGAAATACGGTGTATCTTCAAAAATGCCAGAGTGCAAAAATACCAGAAGCGTCAGAGAGAGCCTGTGACAAATGAGCCTCTAGGGAAGTCTTTTATGTTTTCCCTGGATATACTTTGTTTAGGTGTTTGCAATCAATGCCATAATTTTAATTCTTTATTTAGGTTTCTGGAAAAGAAAATAATAATGTTATTCTGGGAAAGAATAACCCCATGTGCCAGTAC